ACGTGAGCAGATGGGAGACCAGAAAGCTAGCTCACGGACAGCCCGCGTGGCTTGTGTGCTTTGTAGGAGGGGCCTCTGGGACCTTGATGGACAGAAATTACCTGGCACGAGAAGGCGTTGAGGGATGGCAGTCTGCGTTGGTGGAGGGAACATCAGCCCCAGGAGGGAAATGACGGAGCCACCCATCCATTTTCAGTGGTTTCTCATATTCCACGTGCAGGTGTGGTTCAATTGTACTTTCACTTGAGATCATTTTTACTTTTTAGATTGGAAAAGAGCACATGAAAACATCCTGAATTATGAATGAAGTCTAGCGCTTTGATCAGCAGCTGCAGTAGCTAGGGCTGTGGATGAGGCGGCCCAGAAGATTGAAAGATTTTAAGGAAATTAGTTGTTAATTAGAATTCTGTGAGGTAATGAAGCAGGCTATGTACGGTGACCACTTCTGTCCACAGCCCTCAGCAGAGAGGAAGGCAGCGCTTGGGATTTGGTCAATGCACTTCCAGAGCCCTCGTCCTAAGGGCGTCATCTTAGTGTGGGTGTGATGCCAGGAAACGAGAAATAAAACGTCTCTCTACTAACTCTGTTTTCCCAGCTTTGAATTATGCACCTGTTGTCTCCCATTGTGAGGCCCTTGAGATCAAGGATCATTTTTTGTTTTTCCTTTGTTTCCCCTTTACTTCGTATATTGCCTGGCATATAGTAAGCACGGGAAAAGGACCCACACGTACAAAAATATTCACAGCAGCTCTTTCTGTGGTGGCAAAGAATTGGAAATTGAGGGGATGCCCATCCACTGGGGAATGGCTGAACATGAATGTAATGGAATACTATTGTGTTATAAGAAATGATGAGCAGGCAGACTTCAGATAAATCTGGAAAGACTTGTATGGACTGATGCTGAGTGAAGTGAGCAGAACCAGAACGTTGTACACAGTAACAGCCACGTTGTGCGATGACTAACATTGATAGACTTAGCCCTTCTCAACAGTGCAAGGATCTAAGACAATCCCAAAGGCCTCATGATGGAAAATGCTATCCACATCCAGAGAAAGAACCATGGAGTTTGAATGCAGATCGAAGCAACTATTTGCTGGTTTTTTTCTTCTGTTTTGTTTTGTTTTCTCTTTCTTGTGGTTCCTCCTATTGGTTCTAATTCTTCCTTACAACATCACTAATGTGAAAATATGTTTAATAGGAATGTATGTGTATAACCTATATCAGATTGCATGCTATCTTGGGGAGGGAGGCAGGCAGGGAGGGGGAGAAAAATATAAAACTCAAAAGCTTATGGAAGTGATTGCTGATAAATCAAAATAAGTTAATAAAAAGAAAATGGAGGCCGAAGTCTTGTCTTTGAGTTTGGGTGTTGGGTGGTGTCTGAGGAAGGTGAGATCTTTCTGTAACATGGAGGAACAGGAGCAGGGCTTTATCCGTCATGTTGTCGGACTGAGGCCCTCGGCTCACCAGCAGCCAGATGCTCGAACACATGGTCGGAAACCCCTACCATCTGGGGAAGGAGAAAAAAAACCAAGGCCACTGAGTCATGGAGGCGCTGCCCCAAGCTTGGTCCTGTGTCTGAGAGGTGAAAAGACAGGCTGGGGACAGCTCGGCCAGAAGCTGTGCCAGCCTCGCTGGCTCCATGTGTTCTGTATGGCCGATGTACGCAACCGGGTAGCCGGGCCTTCCGCGGGGTCTTTCTCAGCACGTATGGACAGGCCGCACCAGCGACAGGGACCCAGAATTTAGGATCATGGCGGGGCTGGCCAGGGATGGGATGAGGAAGGAGGACCGAGCTAGGCGTGTGGCCCCTCAGGGGAAGAGAGCCGTGGTTATTTTCAGCAGTCATGTGCCTGTGTGTCGCTGCTTATTAACAACTAAGGTAATAATGAATGTTTCCCCCTAGGCCTGAGAGCTGGTCGCCATAGGATTCTATCATCTTGATGCCCTGCCTCATGGTGCCATCTCCTTTCATCCCTAGGGGCAAGACCATAGATAGAAAACTGGGGGGACCTCAGCTACTCTTGTCTAGTCTAACCCCTCTGATTCCCCAGAGGCTACCTCAGCTGCCCACGGTTACCTAGGGAGTAAGTGGTATCACTGAGAATTGAACTCAGGTTCTGTGACTACCACTCAGCCCTCTTTTCATTGGTCATTGCCAATAGTGGCCAGTGAATCCTTGCCAATCAGTCTTGTTAAATGGGGGATGGAGAAGCCTTCTAAGTGACTGACCCTTAGTTTCCACTTGTTTGTGATGTCTCCCCCACCTTGATGGGCATTGACCCTTTGGGATTCCTCTCCCCCTGGGTCTTTGGGACACGAGAGCCAGTGCCTCTCACGTTGCAGTCTGATTTGGAGGAGAATGCAGCGACCCATTTACTGTGAAGAGGACAGGGCAGCTAAGTATTTCAAGAAAGCTTTGGCTGGCATAGAACCTTGAAGACCTTGTTGACTTCTGAGTCCTGCAAAGATTGGAGAGCTGATAAAAACTGGCTTTGTTTTGTTTTGGTGACATCGGGGAAATCTTCACACAGTCTGCAAAGCTGTGCCCAGGAGGTCTGGTCTCTGCCCTCAAGGAGAAAAGAGCTGGACGTGAACATCTGTAGTACAGGGGGCAGGTGTGGTGAGGATGCCGCCTAATGGGCGGTGCTGACCAAGCGTGGAAGATGTGCGGAGAGGAGGGAGAGATGACTTGTGACTGAGCACAGACAGGAAAGAGAGCGCCTTCCAGTTGAGGGGAGTGGACGGAGGCAGGAGAGTTCATGGAGGGGCAAGGTGTTCACACCAGCCAACGTGCAAGGTTTGGGGTAAAGGGAGGTGAAAGGTGATTCAACCCAGGCCGGTTGGGGTCAGATTGTGAGGGCCTGGACAGGCCAAACTAAGTCATTCAGGCAACAGGGAGCCATGGAGAGACTTTTTGAATGGGAGAGTGACCCATTTAGAGCTTTAAGAACATAAGCCTCCTGGTGTGGGCAGAGAGACCAGGCAAGACTTGCAGATCGATTTAGGGGTGGAGCAGTAAGGTCCTGCACTGGGGTGCTGACGGAGGGGGAGCAGAAGGGACAACTCCCTGTTTGACAAGGTTGCTGGCAGTAATTAGGTGTGAGCGGCATCTTACACCACAGAGTGCGCAAGATGGAGATGGGCCCTGCTGAAAATTAGAGCATCAGATTAGTGCCTTCCCTAGCTCTGATGGGAGGCAGGGGTAGCGGTGACACGGAAGAGAAGACAGGTTATGTCAGTCATGTGAAATTGAAACAGGCGTGCGTGAACACAAGGACCCGCCGAGAGGCCAGGGGAGGCAGTGGCTTCCCTGAGCTGGTGGGCCGTGTGCTGCCCGCCCACTCAGGGACAAGGGGCTTCCCTGGTTCTTCGGCAGATGTCACTGAGCCTCCCGCTCATGACTCCACAAAGGAGAGCCTTGGCTCCCCTGGCCCGTGGATGGGCCGTGAATTGACTGTCTCCATGCCTTTCTTGTTCATCTGTACTTTGACCCTCTCTGGGTCCTCCCTCGTGGGAAGCTTTCCCTGCCCACTCTCAGCCTCCCTCTTTTTCGCCTTGTTGTCGGTACCTCTTTGACGGGGGTTCAGATTTCACCATTTCTGCTGCACATGTCTTATCTCCTCCAATAAAACTGTAAGCTGTGTGAGGGCAGGGATGCTGCTTTTTCAGTTTGCACCAGATGGACTGCGACAGTGCTGAGACGTAGTAGAGTATCAGTGAACGCTTGTTGAGAGGAATCGAATTTGTCGTTAACTCATAGGCTTAGTTACGAGTTCCGGGTTATCCCCTGCCTAACTACCTTGCTCTGGGCCTGTCCTTTCCCTTCTCTTGGCCACTGGGCCTCAGTTCCTCCATTCGTAAGTCAGGTAGGATAGACTAAGGTCACTGAGGCCTTGCCAGCTCCAACGACCTATACTTCTAACTGTTTTACGTGACTTGGCACAGACGGTCTCGTTTGGCTGAACCCCTTTTCTGAAGAGAAGCCCATCTGGGGGGCGTGGAGTTGCTATGGTGCCATGGTAGAGGGCACCAAGGGCTTTTAGAAGCAACTTCTTCCCCTTTGCGGTAGTTCGTGACAGCTCCTCTCTGTGTTCCCACATATCTCAGTACTTGGCAAAGAAACAGCAACAACTGAGCCTTTGGTTGCAGGACAAAATGGCGTCAGGTTCGTGTTCTCACCCAGGGCTGTTTGTCAGTGTGTTCCGCGCGTTCCAGATAAATTCCCTCGGGCCACTCCCCTCAGGCACCCTGTCTTGCAGCAAAGTAAAACAGTGATGTTTAACCAAAGCCTCCGTCGTCCCTAACAGAGCACACACCATTCCACGCCAGAGCCCCACCTGTCCAAGGAGAGGAGGAGCTGTGTTTGCTTAACCTTTCTGCAGAGCCTGGAGTGTCGGCTGTAGTCGCGCCAGGATTAGCTTTTGCTTTCCTGCTCTCTTCATTTACGGCGCTCTAAGTGTTGATGGTTCTATTTACTTCACTCTGCAGTAGCTCGGTCACATCTAACTGGGCTGTCTGAAATTCCTCATTGTTCTTGGTACTTTGACCCATCGCTTCCTCGCTGACGGACGTCCACTTTGTGTCCAGCGTTTTTGGTGTCACAGAAAGCGCTGCCGTGAGCACTTTGCTCTCTCTTTCTGACCCGTTCCCGGGATCACTAGGTCAGAAGGTTTGTTGATAGTTCTCTCATCGTTCCAAAATTACTCCCATGATGACACATAGAGGCACTGATATTGGTCTGCGTGGATTATTTCCTTGGAACGCTCTTCTTCCCTCAGGACGTGTATAGGGCTGTGGAAAGTCGGGCCCAGTGTGCCTCAGGAGAAGGTGCTTTCTCCTCTGTGACATCAGAATTTGACCGGAGGGATTTCCGAACATGAGTCGTGCGGGTCCCCAGAGTGTGGAGACGTGCTGGGGGTAGCCGCAGCCATGGTGAGACCGTGGTTGTGTTCCTCTGTGAAATGGCCCTCGATACTGATTTTGTTTTTCCTTTTTAGCTGAAAGGTCACAGATACAGTCCAGGCTATAATGCAGACGTGGGGGACAAGTGGATCTGGCTGAAGTGAAGTGAAGCCTTTCTCCCTTGGAGCAGTTACAGGCCCTGACAGTACACGAGCCAGTCACCTCAAAAATGAGCCTCCAGTTACGGGATGGAAGAAGAGAATGGCCTCACCGAGAACGGGCTGCTTGTGGCACCCCTATGAGCTTTCTCCTTGGATCCCTAGCAATATTGGTTAAAGCCAGAAGTTCCCAAAACTGGTTGGTAGGACCAGAAATACCTTTCTTCCATTGCCTTGGGCTCTGGCCCCTGTAGGGTCTGTATTTTGCTTCCTTCGACTTCGGAGAAATAAAACCTTTTCTGTGGAACTCCCTGAAGTGTGTGTGTGTGTGTGTGTGGGTCCGTGTGTCTGTCCGTCCCCGACTCCCCCAAGTGCTGGGGTCCTGCCTCTTACTCCCACAGTCTGACTGCTGTATCAAACTAAAACCCAAAGAGTACAGAATGAAGGAGGGAAGGAAAATGGCCACAGATTGACCCAGCAGAGCGTTAGTCTTGATCGGCATTTTGGTAGAGGCTTGCCTGAAAGCCATCGTCAGCCGTTCTCCTGATTCTTCCTCTGATGGGCCATTATGAGCTCAGAGTATCGAGGAAGTAAAATGCAAGGAGAAAGTAGTAATTAGTACCTCTGAGTCCCACCAGACAAGACCCCTGTTTGTGGTCTCAGTCAGCCTGGCCTCTCCCTCCTGCTCTGCGATGTCAGCTGAAACGTGGGCAGAGGCGGGGGCGCTAAGCTGGGGGAGGATTCAGAGGGTGATTTGGAAGTATGTTTGAGAACAACGGGCCTGAGAAGGATGCAGAGTGACCCTTGTTTCCATTTTAGCTTACAAGAGGTGAAAATGCAGCTTCCTGGCCATTTTTGAGTCACAGACCATCTTTAAGTGGTTGTAATTTTGTGTTTCCGGCAAGGAGCTGAGCGCTTTAATAATTAAATGAAAGTGCTGCTGGGCATTGGGCCAGTCACGCAGGGCCTCTGGTGCCAAGCACCTCTGTTAGGGCCCTGACTTCCCCCACACAAACCCATTATGTGCGGAGGGGAAAGAAAGAAAAATCTTTTTAATTATCTTCAGTGTGCCTGGCGGAGGCTGCCCCCTCTTTGCAGGGCCCTCACTCTTCCTAAACCCTGACCACGCTGCAGCGTGGGAAATGATGACCGTGTGGTCAGGGCGACTGGTGAGATCCCCTGCCCACCACCCCGACCCCCTTGCATGTAGCTTCAGGTTTGAATGACCGCCAGCCACTGTAAACATTGGTTTTTCACAGGGATTTGTGTGCAAGCCTGTGTGCTGGAGGCTACCGAGGGAGGGAATATGAATTTGGAATGGTACTGTTTCATTTTCCAATATTCTCTTTTACATGGTTGTTGAGCAGAGATACAGAGACAGGAAAGATCCTTTAATGTTTGTCCTTCCCGTTAAAATGCTGCAGAATAATCACAGCACATCCGAGGTGGAAAGGACCGCTGTAGCTGCCTGCACCCCAAAGGATCCTCGGCTCAGGAAGACCTCCGGAGAGATTGGGCCCTCTCCATCTGGGAAGCTTTGAGTACCAGGAAATGCTTCTTACACCAAACCTAGCGTTACCTCCATTTTGCCTTGTTCTGCTTGTGGAAGCCATGCAGAACAAGGCGAATTTTTTCCTGGTGTCAGACGTAAATCCATTCTCCTTCCCCCAGAGTCTTCTCCCGGTGGAATACCCCCGCTTCCTTCAGTAGCCTAAACTTGAATCCTTTCCTCTGAACACTTTCCAGAATGCTATTCCCAGGACTGGCCATAGTCCTTCCCATGTGGACCATCCCTTCCTTATTTCTCTATCGTTGTCTCTCTTCAGCCCAAGCGTACGTTTGTGTCTTGGCTGCCTAGTGACAGTGTGGACTGCAGCTGAACTGGTGGTCCTCTGATCTCTTTCAGATAAACTGCTTTCTAGCTCGGCTTTCCCGCACCTTGTGCTTGAATGTAGTGGTGGTGTAGGGATCCCTTAATTCTTTTCTCTGTCTCTCTCTCTCTGTCTCTCTCTCTGGCACAGAATGAAGATAATTCAGTTCAATAAAACTATTTTAACTTAAGACCAAAAAAGTAACATTTAGAACAAATACTTTCCCAAAAGTCAGTGGCAGAAGTCTGGATGGCACAGATGATGTGGATTTCAGTCCTCTCTGACACGTGCCAGCTGTGTGACCCTGAGAAGTCACTGCCTCTCAGGGCCCAAAGCAGCGCGAAGATGAGAAGCTGAAGACCAGGTGGATCCTTTCCTGTAGGACAAGTCTCCTGGCTAAGTCCTCCTCACCCGATGAAATCACAGGCTCCCCCTTGGCTTCCCCTCAGAAACACGGCCCCTGCCGCAGCCTGAACACAAGCCTACAGATTCCTTCCTGCGTCCCCTCCTGAACAGGGTGACAGGCTCGGTTGTTCCCAGACGCTCTTCTGTTGGCCGTTCAGAAAACCCTCCTTTTAGATTTAGGGAGCAGGTGCTGTCTTTAAAATAATCTGGCCCCAGCCTGAGTAGTTCCACCTGACGTGACATGGGAGTGTCAAGCATCACACAGTTTGAGGAGGCTGTTTGTAAATGCTACCTCCCAAGGCCATATTTGAAGTACAGACGTAGTCTGCTCTATGTGTCTGCTCTATGGGATTTCTCGTTCAATAGGACTCGTAGTATCCACATCAGCAGAGCGTGGCTAATGTTTGCCCCAGTGGCCAAGACATGGCGACAAATTCATTCCATAGAACTGGACATTCTCATGAGATTCGACAAGCTGGCTTCTCTGTGAAGAGTGTAGTGGGGTGTGAAGGCGAACAGACCTTCCGTTCTGGAGCCACGGGGGCACAGGAGGGATGAAGGTACCAATAGTGGCCGTGTTCTGTTTCCCACATGTCCTGTTGGACAGGTTCTCAGCTCTGCGCACACTAGGACAGAAAAAGAATTAACTCAGTGAATCTGTCTTGATAAAAATTCAGATTTTCTCTCCAACCTTGAAACAGTTCTATGCATTGCATAGAATTCTTAGAATTTGTGATTCCCTAACTTTACAAAACCAGCTCTGTTGAATGAAGACAGTGTAAAAATCACATTTAAAAATAGAACAGGGCTAGATTGCTGCTCAGTGAAATAGTCTTCATCTCCTTGGTTAGAGCAGGTTGGTGGCTGAGTGTCTCAGAAGTGCTGTGTCTGCTGATCTCCATAGAAAGGTGTCGGATGACATGATGCCCCTGTAGCCATCTTAAATAGTGGATTTCTTTTTTTCATAAGAAAAGGTGTTAATGCCCCACTCCTCACTTCCCTCATAGTAATCTAGGACCAGGGTGTGCTGACCTTGTGTGTCATGCTCTAGGACCCTGAACTGGATGCATTAGTAGGTCGAGAGGGGTTGGTACAGTCTGGTGTTTGGCAAAGACTATGAGAATATGAAGAATATGAGTATGGAAGGGTGTCTTTTGCCCCTCTGTCCTTCCCAGAGGTGTGTCAGGCTGCTACCTTCAAGATCCCTGACAAGCTTGGAAAAGAAATGTTTTCCCTTCCAATGGAGAATATGGTACAACTCCCTTGGTAAAAAACCTGGTGGCCTGAAGGAGACTTAATTAACTCCCGTGATGTTTGTTCCTTTGAAAATAGCTAGTTAGTGTGGTGAGGGTTGGGGGGTTGGGGCACCTCATTTTGGGACCTGGCACCTCTTGAGTAAGGCTGCTGTTCTCACGGAGAGGGAGCTTAGATCAGTTGGGAATACAGTTCTTCATCACGATGCACTGACTGTCACAGCTTTAGGGGGCAGATAGCAAATGTTGACACCCTGCATGTCCAGGTGAGTCATTTATTTAAAGAAAGATCTTCTGGTCTCAGTAAAGCCGGAGGGGCCTCAGTTTACACTTATTTGAATTTTGCCACCTTAGGGTACACTGTTAGTAATCCATGCTTCCACTCGGTACTTTGGTGGTTGACCCTTGTCGATCCAAGGCATAGAAACCTGAGCCCATGCGCTTGGCCTTCCCAATGGCATAGTCTGAAGGGCAGCAGCTGACCCTCCAGGTGCCTGTCTAATTTCCCCATAGAGACCTTTTAAGGAATCCTCTTCAGGAGGGAGGCCGTGGTTCTGAGCTCCAGGTCCATTCAGTCTAGGGGCTTCCTGAAATTATCCAAAAGGTGCCATCTTGGGCCGTGACATTTGTGAAGGGGGCAGAGGAAGGACTCAGCCTTGGACTCAGTAAATCAGTGGTCACTGGCCATGGGACAGGCTGGTGTGATTGCATTTGGACTTTGCTCTGGGACCAGGAGAGTTCACTGACCACACTTGGCCCTCCCATCTTGCCTCCCCCAGGTTCTCCATCTTCTGTTGAAGGAACTGCAGCTTTGGTCCTAAAAAAAAGAAGCGTCAGCTTGAATTTCTTCTTCCTTATGCTCTGTGGCTTTTGAGGCTTCCTACTAGCATGATGTATTAAACGTGTAACTCTAATCCCATCAGAAGACGAAGAAGCAAAATTGAGAAACGTGTTGCATGTGACCCGTGGCCGAGGGAGAATGCCCCCTGCTCTGTGTTGGGGAGGGAGAAGCTTCCTGAGGGTGTAACCGAGACCTAGATTGTGCTCCAGCCAAAAGAACGTGCAGACTTCTGAGCCTGTGGGCCCTCGTTTGTGCAGGGTGCCGTGGGATGACAGGCATGGGGGCAGGGCGGCTGTGCCTCCAACATTCATCAGTCAGGACCCGCTAACAGCATTCTGTGGTTCGTCTGGAAGAGCTCCGACGCCGTGGTCGGGCTGGACCCAAGGAATCAATCCATTCTAATGCAGGACAAGCTGAGAGCTCCCAGTCGGCGTGAGTGTTTCCGTACACATGTCGCCGGTGGGGCTGTAATGTTTGTTTTAACGAGGAGAGCAGAGCGCATCGGGACTCAGAAAGTGGAAATGGTCAGTGACGAGTGAACTTCCTTTGGCCTCTTCATCACGGAGGCTCGGCGGCCCTGGCCGGAGCAGCCTGCAGACATTGCTGCAGGCGCCCGCGTAGAACCCAAGCGGCATGGGACCAAAGACCGCCTTGTGGAGCCTGGTTCAGTTTGTGCCTGAGACGTCCTTCCTGACGTCCCTGGCCAGTGACCATCCGGCCAGTGCTCGAGGGGCCCAAGGAAGAGAGCTCGGCCCGCTCTGGGAGTGTTCTTAGAGCTTTGTAGTTTTCATAGATCAAGTCAGAGTTGGCTTCTTTGTGACTCCGCCCTCCGCCATCATTCCTGCCTCTGCCCTCTGGGGCCAGATGGTCCATGTCTGATTCCCCTTTAGATGCTTGGAGACAACCAGGTCTGCCCAGCTCCAGGCTGCACATCCTGAGCTCCCTC